AGTATGTCCAGAAGAAGAGAACCTGTTTGTGCAATTTGGACATCTCTCTTTTCCTCATTGCAGCTTTTTGATAAAAAAATGTCTGAAGATCTTATGTTTTTTTAAAGCTTCTGTACTTTTCAATACTTTCAATCATTACAAGAACAGATTTAACAGAGCTTGTAACATTTAATTAAACTTCATATAGTAAAGTATCTTTATATCAAAACTGTTGACACCCTTTCTTCCAACAATCATAATCACCATGACAGATGATTATTGATGGGGGGAAACCTCGGTTGCTCTCAGTAAAAACTTTGTAACATTGTTCAGTAAAGGGTTTTGGTAAACCTCTGTTTGTATATTTACAGCCTTCTATGATTGGGGACGAACCAGGATCTTTGTAGCAGCCGAAATCAACAATGTTTGAGCTCATCGATACTGATATCGAGCCTCGCTCGCTGTGTCATTTAGATCAAATCACTGCTGCAAAAAAACACATCCAAGCAAGCACAATTACTTCAGCATTATGGGTCAAATTAAACCAAAATGCAGCACCTTCGACTGTCTTCAACAAACTCTGTGAACTCCAGCTTCTGCTGCAGGACAGTCCTCCTTCTCCTCCACTCAGAGCAGCTCTGAGATCACCAGAGCTTTGTAACTAGTTCCCGTGGTTAAAATAATGGTATCCAATGTTGAAACACTCCGGTTCCCAACCCAAGTCACCACGAGCTACTGCCACCCCAAATACAAAACAACAGTAAGGTCTTTTACCTGCTCTTTTGTAAAGTGTCTTGAAATGACAGCTGTTATGAATTGGCACTATACTTATAAAGATTGATTGATGAATACGCTTGCTGGTACTCCTGCATTGCTGAGCTATAAAAGAAAAGTGCTGAGATATATCTGACGTAAGGTTATATAAAGCGCTGATATCACTCCGTGAGGCTGGAGGGGCAAAAGTCATTTTTCTGACTTTTGTTGTAACTTTACTTTAAGTCATTTCAGTTTTTGTAGCTCCACTGTAACACCTCCTCTGTCTGTTTACTGCACCGTTAAAGCACTAGAGGAGGGAGAGTCATTGTCAAAGCGAGCGCTCTCCACTCCAGCTTCTCTTAATCAGCGAGGGGAGGAAGCAGAGGTGAAGCCCGGTGGGACGCTGACAGCTCTGACCCGGGAGAGAGAGAGCCTCCCATGGAGTGTTTGTGTCTGTGTGTGCAAATGGCTCTCACTGGGTCATTAAGCATATTTCTTTTTCTCTTTAAGTGTGGTACAGTGTGTGTGTATGTGTGTGTGTGTGGAGAAAACGATGAAGTTTCAGACTTGATGAAGAAATAGTTCTGTTACAAGTTTACGAGTACGTGATGATGCAAAAAACATTTTAGACATTTTCTTGTAGGTGTTTTACTTCTGTTTGTTAAAGTCTGTCAGAGCGTGAAGTAGTCACATTATATGTCATCATCAAAAAAGGTTCAACGCTGCTTGCTGCCTTCAATGCCACATATTGCACAGCCTGATGATTTTCTCTTTTCTTAAATAGTGCAAAAGGGAGTTTTTTTAAACAGGAATGCTCTAGAAAGTGATGATTTTTCTATTTGTAGCTTTTAGCGATGTTTGAATTTGTTTTTTTTAGGGAGCCTTTTATAAAATCTGGCCAGGGACAACAGATGAAAATGAGCCTTTTGGCTAACTCTGGCATATTTACCAAAATGTTTATTAATATGCAATGTCCCTGTAAAAAATAAATAAATAAATAAATAAAGGGGCAGCTGTGGATCAGTGGTACAGTCAGTCTGCTCTCAACTGGAAGGTCGAGGGTTTGATCCCCAGCTCCTGCAGCGACATGTCCGATGTGTCCTTGGGAAGTTGCTCCTGCTGCTTCTTCAGAGGCGTATAAATGTGAATAAGTGGATTAATTAATACTGATGGACACTTCACATACCTTGATTCATGTTATATTTTGACCAAAGCACAAATCAGATGTTTCATTTAGACCACAGGGGGACTGCTTTAAATGAGGTACAATATCCTCTTTAAGATATTTAAGTTTAAACACGACGGCTTCCTGTTAAAGATGTGTGACCACATGTTGACTATTCTTGAAAATCCTGTATTGAATTTAAAGATGAGGGTGAACAACACAGTCGAAAACATCTTGTTAACAAACTACATCTATCATGGCGTTGCTGTTCACCGTGATTTTCGGTGCCCGTGATCGCATGTGGAAATGAGAATCCTGGAGATTTGGAGGCAATCACTGCTTGCAGACACATAACAAGGTGCAATAGCTCCCCGAGAGAGGGAAGGTAAAGGATGGGGAACGGTTTGAGACAGAGGAATTGGTGCAGAGAGGGGTGACAGAGTTAACGGGGCTGGGAGCTGGAGAGGTAATGGGAGGGAGGGGGGGTGGGAGAGTGACAAGGAAGAGGGGCGCTGCTGGAACGGAGGGGGGGGAGAGGAGCGGGTGAAGCAGGTAGAGCCGCTAGATGAGATAAAGAAGAAATCATTCAGTCAATCAGGCCGGGCCGCGGTGCAATCATCAGATCTCATCTGTTTTCAAGAGCAATTCTGCCTTTTATTGAGCTGTTGTGCCTCAAACAGGGAGGCTACAAAGGGAACATTAACCCTTTCAGTGCTGCATCAGTGCTGCATCCACCTGCACCACATGTCAACAGCACCAACACGATCACAGATTAAATATGACTTGAGTTTTTTAGACTTTATTTCAGATGATACTTCTGCCTTTACTTGAATATGGCAGCTATAGGGAGACACAAGAAATGTTCAGAGGAAGGGGAAGAGGAGTAGGAGACGACATGGACCAAACAGAATCAGATTCAGGATCAGGGATCGAACCTTCGACCAGGCAGCATGACGAGGACTGTCTCCTCTGTACATGAGACGCCTGCTCTCTGTTTAAACTAAAGCAGCGCCCTATGAATCTGTTTTTAATGAAAACTTCTGAACTTCAATCACAACAAGCTGTGTTGTAAATAATGAGGTCATTTATATTCTTTCAGGAGTTATGAATCTTGGAGAGAACTTTTGAAATATTTGAAATTATATCATTTATCCCTAAAGGCCCTGACACACGGGCGGTGAGTGGTCGTCGCCCTAGTTTTTGCGGTGTGTCCGGCTCCGTCGCTACCCGTCGGCCACTGTCAACCTTTTTTTGGCTGATTCAACATGTTGAATCAGCGTCAGGAATCTCTCTGATTGGCTGTTCTGAGTCTCTCCTGCCAGACCTCCTAGTTTTTTTTCCGCAGAAAGTCCTTGTGAGCTGATGTGAGAACACTGCAGGATATTATCGGGAGAATTCACCTCTAGCCAAAGAGTGTTACATGTCACTGTTAAAAGAATGAAGGGATCTACCTACGTACAGGACAGAATCAGAAAAGTTATAAGACATTCCCGTTTGTCCACAGGAAGCACCAAAACATCCACACAAACTGAAAGTTCAAAGCTCACTGGGGCATTAAGAAAATGTTTTATCAGCTTATTTACTCACATAAATGTTAAACTTTGAGTTCTGAGGCTTAAGAAATCAAATGATTTAATTCCTAATTGCGTTTGTTGGTTCCAGATGGGAGCAGAAAAGTCAGCGGGGAAGTGACCAAGCCCATCTACGGCTGCCAGGTCACCATCCAATCAGAGCAGGAGAAACAGATGATGAAGATGTACCGCAGGGAGGAGAAGAGAGAGAGGAAGAGAGGCAAAGGAGGAGACGACAGCGACGCATCGGATGCTCTCTTGACCTTTGACCCCAGAGAGATGAGAGCTCTGAGGTATGAAACTTTTTCTGTGCGTCCATCCCCTCCGTGCTCGTTGGTATTTAAACCAACACGCTTCAACACCAGAGCTTCACAAAATGAAAAATAAAAAGGATAGAAGCTGCAGCTCGTCACATTTTTCAATATTTTTTCTGAAAGTTTAATTTCAGAGGTTAAAAAAACAGAAAAAGGAGCAGCGATCTGTTTAATTAAAAAGTTAGTATGGCCAAATCCAGCCCAGTGTGAAGGAACAGATTAGCAGAGAGGTAAGCCACTTAAAGACGCACACATCTCCGTCTCTTCATTTGAATCATCCGCTGCACAATATTCCTCCTGAAGCAGAAAACACGATGGATCCCCCGAGAGACAGAGACAACCATGAGCCTCATTCACCAACACTTCAAGGAAGGAAACATGTTGAGGCAGATTTCAAGTAGGGCTGACACTGAGGACTATTTGGTAACTCTTTATTTTGATCGTTCATTTGTTCAACAAGCTAGCAGAAGATATTTCATTGTTTTTTAAAAACAGGTTACTAACCCTAACTGCTTATATATTGAATTTCAATTAATGGAATATTTCTACTTGTCTACTGTTGAAAAATGTATGTTGAATATGAACTGACACACTGTTGATATGTGACTGAATATCTACTGACAGCTTGTTGAGTGTCAACAGATGGACTTTCAAAATAAAATGTTACAGACTATTTAAATCATCAGTATGTACGAGGGCTCATCTTGAGTTTCTTTCTAGCAGCTTCCACACCGTGTTACTTTGCTTCTTTTTTTTTTAACACTCCAGATATGTTTTTCTTTTCTTGCAGGGAGCACGCCCTGCTGACTGCCCGACGTGAGCCCGTGTTCAGCAGAGAGAGAGTGTACGAACGCATCCGATATCCCAACGTCTACGACTGCTACGCAGAGGCCACAAAGAGTCCTGCGTTTGTGGGAGGAGCCAAGGTGAGCGGGATGTGTCCACTTTTTGTCTGCATAATCCTTTACACCTATTTAAAACAGGAAAAAATGTAGAAGTGAGTGCTGCACTGGGTCAAAAAACAAAATAAAGAAAGAAAAAACCTATTTAAAACAAGGGTCAAGCTCTTTAGTTGCAGTGATGTAAGATTCTTCTAAATTTCTGAAATATGAAAGCCATGACTCACTTGTTTCTACACCAGAGACCTTAAAATATTTATTCCTATAAATGTGTGTACATGGTCACCTACATGTACTGTAGGTTTGTTTCATATTTTTATTTCAAAGGAGCATAAAGGAAATGATAACATAAAAAATAGAAGAATTCTTCAGAGTATTTGTCTTTTTTCCGACTTTGGATGTCCTCCAAGTTTGAGACAGTGTTTTTTTTTTTTTAAACCCAGGTTTGTTATTTTCGAGTCCTTGAGGTCATTCTTGAGATCTGTCTTTTCTTCTGTTTGTTTTTTTTATCGGTGTGACATTTAGTTGCTGCTTCCCGAGGGAATCCGCAGAGACAACAGTAAGATGTATGAAGAGGTGGAGATCCCGCCCAACGAACCCATGCCCATTGGCTTTGAAGAGAAGCCTGTCTACATCTCTGAACTGGATGAGGTAGGAGCCACTCTGTACTCTTCTGCGTGCGTGCGTGCGTGCGTGCGTGCGTGCGTGCGTGCGTGCGTGCGTGCGTGCGTGCGTGCGTGCGTGCGTGCGTGCGTGCGTGCGTGCGTGCGTGCGTGCGTGCGTGCGTGCGTGCGTGCGTGCGTGCGTCTGAGCACCATGGTTGGGTCACTGGGAGGTTTTTGAAGACTGACAGTGACATTTCTACTTACAGGAAAAAGCAGAACTATTGCATGTGTTACTGTAAACTAAGGAACTTTAGGCATGCATCAAACTGAATCTCTAAATCCCTCTCCGCTTCATGGCTTCAATTACTTTTTGGAAAAAAAAACAAACAGCATGCACATCCAAACCATTGAGTACTGGGTGCTGGACAAAAAATGTATTATCACAAAGGCAAAAAGAAAACATTATGCAGTTCTCACAATAGCAGAAATCTCCTGGAAAAACTCCTGATATTTCCAGAAGGAGCTGCATGTGTGAACGCAAACAGCCACATTTTTCACTCTCTCTTCACCCGGAGTTTCTCCTGCCAGACTTCTAGTATTTTTCTGCAGAGAGTCATAGTGAGCTGATGTGAGAACGCAGCAGGATATTATCAGGACAATTCCCCTCGAGCCAATAGGAAGGGCAGTGACGTTTATATATTTGGACTGCTGCATGGTGCATAGAGTGTCTGCATGCGACCACGACTACACGTAGCAGTGATATACAGACAAATATTCTCCTTCCGCTACTTCTGCATCGTTTTTTTTCCCGTCACCTCTTACCTCAGGAGGCCCCGCCCCCCTCCTGTCTGTCAGGGATAGTCTCCAGCTGTGAGGAGCATATGTGAACAGACAGGTCAGGAGAATCTCCAGAGCAGTCCTCCTGAAATGATCTAGATATTATACTGGAGTGCAGATGTGAAAACTGCTTCAGTCCGTACAACAGAAGCTGTTTCAAGTCTCATTTAATGGAACTTATCCTCACGTGACGTTTTAGGCCACGATAAAGCTGCAATGCTTCTCTACCAACAGACATCCAGAGCTAACAATCAGCTTTTATAGACGACTGCGCTGTCTCCCAACTTATTTTTTTGCTTCCTTTTTGGCCAGTCAGACCGTAAATTAGGCCACGCAAAGAAAAGGGAGTCTTCGGCGGATATTAGAGAGTCACCGATTGTGAAAATCAGTGCCTTAACCGATGTTTGATTCATAACTTCCTTTGGTGTAAGATTCCCACAATGCTGGCATTTTCTTTCATGTTTGAGAATGAAAACAGAGCAGAGTTTGTCCAACAGGTGACCTCATCTGTCCAATAAAAATCCTCTTCTCTGAATCAGTAGTCAGGTCTCCTAGATATCAGCATTAAATTGATAAGACACAATATGTCGATACCTTTCACTCGGGCCGATGCCGTCTGATACCGATGTCAAACCGATGCATCGGTAAGAGCCTTGAAAAATTGTCACTCCCAGAGGATCATCATTTTCAGACTAAAGCTGATTGATTTGCTGTTTTAATTCAAACATTGACACTAATGATACTTGGTCTGGTCAGATATTTGGTGTAATTATGACTCTGATGTTGTTAAAAGATTATATACCTGATAGTTTGAATCTTCCCTTCGCCCTAACCCAAAGGGATTCCATGACTGGATTTGCAGCTTCAGATCTGATGTGTACTCCCTCCACAGCAATGGCTGACTTTTCCAGCTCTGCATCTCAGCGTCTCATTTTGAAGTAAATCCGTGTGAACACTTACACCGGCCTGCTCGTCTGTTCAGCTGCCAGGAGAGCGTGAGACGCCACCGGTGTGTGTGTTTGGTCCCTGTTATCCTCCATCTGAGTGAACAGGAGAGGACTGCAGCTGTAATGGCCGCTGAACGATGTTCCTTCTTAATGGAAGTGCTGTAGCTCTCAGCCGACTGTCAGCAGGCACAATGACCCGTCAGTCTGGCTTGACACCTTGACTGACAAACCCACACTCATACTGGTGCACACACACACACACACACACACACACACACACACACACACACACCCTCCAGCCTCTGGCGGTCTTTTACCCGACCACCAATGGGCAGAGTTAAAGGGCAGCAGGCTGGAAAAGCAGGAGTCCAGTCTGCTCGGTCCTCAGGGACGAGGTCTGGCAGGAGAATCCTCCAAAACACATCATTGTCTTTGAAGGCTCGGCTCCCGCCCTGTCTGCCGAGGGGGGCTCTGTAATCCATCATTACTGCCTCACTAGTGAAGATGCAACAGTGCAAAAGGTCACCTCCTCTCCTCTCAATCTGGCCTTTTGTTGATGAAGAACCTAAACTATGAAAGGCGTAAAGCTCACAAGTATTTTGTCACACTTCAGGAGACTGGTGTAACTGCTCACCTCTCTTAACCTTCCTGTCAATCATGCTAATGGACATCATAATAAAAAAACAAGGACTGGGTTCTGTGTGCGTGTGTGCGTGTGTGCGTGTGTGCGTGTGTGTCATTGTTTGTGGGCTGAAGTGTGTGTGTGTGTCTCTCGCTGTGACAAATTGATGGACGAATGGTTTAATCACAATTACGCTGTTGTTGTTTTCACAGTTTGTGATACTGGCTCAGGTGTGTGTGTATGTGTGTGTGTGTATGTGTGTGCAGCGTGAGCGCTGATCTCTTCAATGCCTGTCAATTTCGATCCTCATCACGGTGTTCTTTGAGGGTGTGACAATTAATCTTTCCATTAGGCACGGAGGTTTGTCCAGGCAGCACCAGTCAAATAAGATTTGCTGAATAAATGAACAGCAGTGTTAACGTTCATAGATTCCTTCCCTTTTTGTTGGGATTGCCTTTATTTGCCTTCTTGTGCTCTAAACTTCTGTAGGTAGAAGTTGAGATAAAAGGATGAAAAATGATAACATAATTCTGTCTTCCTCAAAGACTAGCTTTTAGCACCAATCGTTCATGCCATTGCACACTGAGTCTGTTTTTTTTGGTCTGAAATTGAGGCACGTTAATGAATAAATAAATACGATGTTATGTCACTCATGTTTGCACACTTTTTCACATCCATCCCTGTGTGTGTGTGTGGCTGTCCTTAGTGTCCGTCAGCTGCTGTTCAGGATCAGTCGCTTTGCAGAAATTGGTGGAGTTCCTTTTTAATGTGTGGTTCCAGTATAGAGAGCAGCGTATCAAAGTGCTGTACAGTTTCTTCTACCACTCTTTTAAAGAGGACATATTCTCCTCCTCCTCCACCTTTTCAAACAGTCCCCTGTGGTCTAAATGAAACATCTGTGCTGTGGTCAAAATATAACATGAATCAAGCACCAGAGGAGGTTTGTGACCCTGTATAAACCAGCTCTCTCAGAACGCTCCGTTTTGGTGTGTGTGTCTCTTTAAATGTAATGACCCCCCCCCCCCCCCCGAGTTTTCCCGGTAGACATCACTCCTCTGTAGAGAGAATAAAAATGGTGGATTTGTACAAAAGTTTTGTTCTAGTCTGGGGGTGGAGTCCATGGGTGGAGATACCAGGGGAGGGGAGGGGATTTTTACCAGAATCCCACTGTGACATCACAAGGAGAGCACATTTGAAACGGAGAGTTTTTCTCTGTGTTGTAAGACTTATGCAGACCACAAACAAAGGACTGGATGGGTTCATTTCACATTTTGTGGGTCAGTAGACTCTCAGGTTACCCAAATATATGTTCAGAAATTAGGCTTTATGAAAAGGATTTTTCATAATATGTCGCCTTTAAAAGCTCTTTTCCTTTCAGACATGCTACATATATGCAGTGAGTCATGGATCGGGTCAGGTGTCATTCTTCCTCGGTTTATTTTCGGTAGAATCTTGGTTGTAGACACACTTCAAAAGCTTCTCAAAGATGGTAACAATGTTTTGGACGCCGTGTTTGTTGATAGGTTTGTGATGTATGGAGGACAGGGCTTTAATAACCGACGCTTGTGTTCTAGTGTGAGGTGAGAATTAAACATCCAGCTCAGGTGAGTTTGGTTTTCCTTTCATCTGCAGAGTGTCTCGTGCTTTGAGACATCTCACACAGCCTTAAAAAGCTCTGTTATGTTCTTGTTCCACCTCCTGTGTGAAGTGAAAGGTGTTAATAGCTTCTGTCTGGTGCAAAAACCTGAATGAATACTTTGGTGTGGTTAGCGAGAACGTGGTCAAAGCTTTCCTCCACATCCTCAGACGGAGAGCAGAGCTTTGTTGAAAACATTTTCTCCTAAAGTTTCTTCTTGTTATCCTTCTAAACCATCACAGATTCAGGAGTGAAAATGAAGATGTGCAAAAACATAATAATATTTAGCTAACTACATGATGTGTAAGAAACATGTTAGAGTATCAGCCATGTAACTTCTGCCTTTCTGCATGTTCACCTGTGTTTGTAACACGTGGTGTCTTAATCTACAACAGCTCAGAAGACGTTCTGTTCTTCTTACCTTTAGGTTTTCATCTGCTACACTTTGCTCACTCTTCACTCCTCTATCAGCCATCGTGCTTACCTCGCAGTAGCCGGCAGATTGTCACAGGTTAGCCTGAGGGCAGCGGACGGCTATCAGGAGCTAACGCTGATCAGCTAAAGGGTGTGAATGCAGATTGAAATTAGATTTTTCTTGGGTTGTCTTGCAATAGTTTTCACTGGCATAGCCCTCAATGTTTGATCACGTGTTTGCATCATGGATTAGAGAATCATTTCACCCTCCATTTCAAATACTTGCTTGGCTGTTTTTTTTTTAACCACCTCTTAATAGGGAATGTAAGTGGAACCAGTATATAAGAAGCGGTCTCCCAGAGGACATTATTTCAAACTGTCTTCCTGTGTGATGATTTCCATTGAATTGAGCAAAGTCCAAAATGTGCAGTTTTCAGTGCAGCTGTGAGACACTTTCAAGTACCATCTGTTTTCACCATGTGGAGTTAGCCGTCCTGCTACCAAACCAGTACGCTAGCTGAGCTCTCAGTCTACAGTAACATGTTAGTGATGAACTTTATTCTCATGTTTTCACTTTTTAGCTTAAAAAA